TAAACACAGTCCTTTGTGCTTTCAGCACATTTTGTTTTGGAGGCTTAAGTCTGAATTCTCTCAGAATTGTAAATATATTTTCAGGAAGATGTAGTACACAACAATTTTTTACATTTTTGCTAGTGATTCTACAGTAAACAATACAGAACCTTCTTTTCTGAAGAGTGAAAATACTGGGGTCAAATAAATTTGAGGGAGACAAAAGGAAAGAGAATCTTCAAGGGCTGGTGGTTTTGAAATTAAAGATACTTTTCTAAGAATGTTTTGCTCTTGGGTCTACATAAAAAAACACCATATAAAAATCTTTTTTTAAAGAGTCTGGTATAAACAGATAAGAAGAGTCCAGCAATCCAGAAGACATGGCTGAAATTTGGTCCTTTGAGTTGCCATGTTGTACCTATATTTCACAGCTCATTAGGCAAATATGATCACCCAGCCGTCCAATAAAGGACCATGAAAACTGTGATATCTATGCACAATGGGAAAGTTAAGGATGAAATTTAAATCTCAGCTCAGAAATAACTGAATTTTTACAGTTAAAAGTCAGAATCTTATAATTTCTATAGCCCTGCATATTTCTCCAAGCTATGAACAAATATTCACCAGTCTTTTTTTAAACGAATTTCTTAAATATGTTAGCTGTTAAAAAATGTCAGTTTCTGAAAAACAGGAGGATTTATTTTAAAAAATATTCATTCTTTGCCTTATAGCTCATCATGATTATTTTTGCACTGTTACACTTGGTGATATAGCTAGACATTTAAAGCTTTGTTTTTGATTAAGAAAGAACACAAAAATATATTATTGCATTAGGTTGAGATAATTTATGTTAAGTTTCAGCTTAGACTGAAGTTTTACCACCAAACGTTACGTCTCTGAGAACAGTGGCTCATAAGAGAAACTTTCTTATGTTCATATGCAGCAGTGGTAGAAAATAATGAAATAGAACTCAAAAAGAAAAAAAAATAATTTAACAAGCATATGGCCTTACTTTCTTATATCAATTTGAGATAGATTAAAAAGGATTCTATTGAGGATAACAGTAGTAACAAGCATCACGCTTAGCTACATAGCTACAAAAAGGAACCCCAAGAGGAAACAATTGTGTTTAAAGATATCAGATAGAATGGAATGACACCTTGCTGATTATAATCACATAAAATGTGTACATTTCTGTATTTATAGCGCATTTAAAAAAATAAAAGAATGATGTGTCATACTTAATAACTATTAGCTATTTTAGGATATCAAAATGGTGTAACAGATTATTAAATCACTTGAATTTAAACTACAGTATTAATAATTATATTCCAAAAACTTATGTGTTACTTCTATATGCTTCATTCTTTTAAGTGAAATCTTTTATAGCAGGCAGACAGTTGTGTTATTAACTAGAGCTTGCAGTTGTTTATATATTTCTGTATGTTTTAGTACCATGATTTTTTCCCCTTTGCCAAATTCTTACATAAATGGGTGGGATTAAATGGAGCCTAGCCTACCTAACATAATTATATATGTTGTGATTTTATACTGCAATGAAACTGATACATTTTAATAATCCCAGTCTTGGCTCTTACCCACTAAAGTCAATAAAGGTTATTAAGGCCAACTGCCATATAAATACATTGCTATGTTGCTAAATGGACTGTCAAAGCAGGAAATACAATTCATACCATACAACACTAGTAGTGTCTTCGTTTTTAAAAGGAACACTGGATATATTAAAAAAAAGTCTTTAAGATTTGTCATTCAGACGTAAAATCATAAGTAGCCTCTATTTCCATTTCACAAGCAAAAATATTCCATTGCACTATGTTTTGTTTCACCAAATTTACAACAGAATAAAAATAAAAAAGTCGTAGGATTTCCACAATTCTTCCTGTTTTGGCAGGGTGTTAAACATTTTTATAGGTAAAATAAATGTCAGTTTGCGAGGTTTGCATGATATCAGACCCTGAGAGAGAAATTGTCTCTCCACTGAATCTCAGAACAGCTATAGCAAGACTTCTTCACATCACATGAGATTTCAGCTTTTCAGACTTCTCTTTACCCAGAAAGCAAAGCTTGTACAGTCCCTTTCAAATGGTAACTCTCTCTTTGAATTCTGTGAGCATTTACCCTGATGTTGCACATGATAACGTGTTAATCTTGGATGACTTTTTAAAAATAAAATACAAACATTTGAATAGCCTTCATATTTTTAAGGGGGAAAGAAGGGAGGGATGGTTGGCTAAACTGCCTCAGATTTAATGGTTCATAAATTCATGAGGTAATGTTATGGGGAAATGTGATGTTTTATCAGAATGTCATTCAAATGAAAGGTTTAACATTTACATCACAAGAGTGAGCTCTGAGTAAAACTATCCTCAGGGAAAGAAATGCCAGGAATAAGCATCATGATAAAACTGTATGCTTGCTATAATGTATAAAAATATTAAATATAGCCCTGAGGTCTGGAGACATTGGGTTAAACTTTTTGAAGTATTATTTTTTCCTGTGCACTAGGCCAATTACAGTTAACAGAAGCAGTTTAAGAAGAGAGGGGGCAGACAGGGGTTTTGGGATTTTTTATAATATAGTTAAGCCATTAAACAGGAAAATAAAAGCAAGGACCCCGAGACCTACTTATGTAAAATCTTACATGCAAACACGTAAAACTTATGACAAGGGTTGTACAGCTCATACAGAGGTAGGTAAAGGAAAACACACTGCTTGTTAAAAATATTTCCTTTTAAAGAATCTCAACAACTTCCGACACAAGATTAACAGCAACAAGCTAGAAAATTTCTAAGTTACACAGTAAAAAATATTTTTTTTAAATAAATCCAACTAAAATTATTTTAATTTGAAAAACATGCATTGAATGTAGGCCAGAAGATACCTTCATAAATGTTTTTTTTTTTATTTAACTTATTCTACAGAAGCCAAACATGCATCAAAACTCTGCACTTTTTATGTTAAATTGCTGTTGAATTTGTTAACCCACAATTGATTTCCTGTGTTATGGAATCTTAGAGATTACAGCTAACTTGAAGCAACAGGGATAATTCTTGATGTTAATGCTACATTTCTATGTATTTTCTCAAGTCTTGTACGGCCCCTGTATTAAAACTGCAGCTCAACAGTGTCCCCTACTGTTGATTTATGTAGAATGTGGAACACGTAGTAGAAACAGAACAAAAATGAGAAAAGGCTGCCTCTGGGTCCCAAATACAGTAATCACCAAATTTATGTATAGATTCAACAAAACAATAGACATTCTGAGTAACATTCTCATCTGTCTCCTTCAACAGCTGAAATTAATTGCGATTAATGTGTTAAGAGTCATAAAACATTAAAGCAATTTTTAAAATTTAAATTAGAAGCAGCTTCTGTCTTGGCCCAAACCTTTGGTTTGCTGATAAATATCATCCTGAGGCCTGTTGAAAGGAGATACACTGACGCCACCATGGTTCTAATTAGAGACACATGGTAATGTCACACCAATTGCAGAAAACCCAGCCCTTGAGGATTCCTGAGTTTGCTGTTTTTCCATGTTCTCAACACACAATGGATATAAAACAATAATCTAATGTCCTTGCCTCTGCCTCATTAAGTCTTGGTGTTACAAGGAGATAGATTGTTATTTGAAAGGAAAACAAACTGAAAAAACTTTTTTAAAATGATAAGTTATCTAAGATACAAAAACATGAGCGGACTGTGTATGCATGTGGGAAATAAAAATGAGACAAAAATGCATTAAAAATAAACTAGTTATAAATCTTTTCCTTTTTTTTTTTTTTTGAAGTCCAAGGTTCTCTGATTTTTCATAGTACCTAATGTTGCAAACATCTAAGTTCCAGTTTCCTGCAGTTTTTCAAGCTTGAGATGCTTGATGTTTCAAGAAAACCTTTCAATATAGAACAAGTTCCAGCAAGTAAAAACTTCTCAGTTTGAGATACCCATTTATGCTGTATCTGCTGTTGCTGGTAAAGGAAGAAACTATTCTCAAAACGGAAAGTTATGTTTCAAACACAGGGTCTCCTCCTAAGTACATGTGAATGCTGCAAATGCGTCATTGGGACTTCAAATCTCTCAGGGATAGACCCAAATTCAATATTATTAAAATCAATCAGCTACTTAAGCAGATGTTCAGGGTTTTTATCTACACTACAATTTTTTGCCAGCACAGCTCTGTTTGGTTAGGAATGCAATGAGACATGGTCTGTGACCAACACAGCTGAGCAGACAAAAACCCCTACTATAGATGCAATTATATCAGCGAGAAGATGTTTCTGACAATACAGTTTCTTTTGCTTAGGGGTCTGGAATAAGCTATACCAATAAAAATGCAATAATACGTATATTGCTAAAAGCTTCCACAAGCAGACTGCACTGATGTAACTACACCAGTAGGTATCCATCAATAGTTGCACAAATGGTTGACAAATCCCCAGTGTAGACAAAGATAGGGATATCTATTTAAAAGGAGGATACAGGAATCTTAGTCACATAACTAATATTGCTTAAGATACTAGTTAGCTTTGTATTTGCCCAGCTGTTGGTGCAAATGGTGCTAGCCACAGCATGCCTTGGTGTAGATTGCATATAGCTGTTTTAACCTCCAGATCATTTAACCTCCGACATCTCCCCAAGCACTCTTGCTCTCACTGGCAGAATGATGGGGATAGTGCTGAAAACTCCCAGTGAGGACACATTGCTAGACAGTGTGATGTAATATCCCAGTACTGTAACCATATATTTATAGTACTACAAATAGATGATGAGTAAATATTTACTTTTTTATTTTTATTTTTTTTAAGTTTTGCTCATTCTGGTTTGTTTTATTATTTCTTTTCTTGCTTTGATAGTCAAAATGAAAGGACTGGCATTATATAACATACAGAAATGCTGAAAATGTAAAGCTTGATTCTACTGCATGCTTGCAATGTGTGCAGAGCTTACTGTCTGTAGAATTATTCTAAAACTCTTAGAATCTAATTATTGATATTGGTACTTACCATAATCTCCATCTTTTTCCAAAATTCTTCCAGTTTAGCCATAGGTTCAAACCACCAATCAGTGCACTTCCTATAGCGTTTGCCCTGAAACCAAAACTGCCTAAGCCATTCAAATTCAACCTGGAAAACAGAAAATATATAAGCAATAACATAAATAATCTGTTTATAACTTGGAATTACTGTAAATCTATTCATATTTGTGCTGCTACTTATAGGACAAGGGAAATGAGAGTTTCTGCAATAACAAACAGACTCCAAATGTAATTTTATGTATAGAAACTGCAGCTTTTTAAATATTTTTGCATGTGAATTTATGGTCTAGGCCAAAGATCACCAAAAGTCAATAGAAAACCATAGACTGACTATACTTGGTTTTGGATTAGGCTTCTCTCAATTATGAAGAAAAAGCATCTGACAACACTAGAAACCTTTACCTCTGAACAGGTACAGCAGAGATTACAAAGGCATAACCCATGAGCTACTGTGACAGCTATTACAGGTGAGAAACTAGTCCAGTTCTTGTTAGACTTTATGGCTAAATACAGATAGTCAAAAAGCCCGAGGCTGAATTGATTCAATATTTTCAGGTTAGTCTAAACTGCGTAGATTGAACTGAGAAGCAAATGAACAGACATTCCCTTTTGATTCTGGAAATGCAGCCACATGCCTGCAGGGGCTCAGGCAAGAAGCCAGGGGTTCCTAGAGCACCCCCGCCTGCTCAGCTGGAGCAGACAGCTTGGGTCAAGGCTGGCCTGCTCACCCTGTGAGGGGGATTTTGCAGGGGAGGTACAAAGCATCCTGGTATGATAGAGGACTGAACTTGAATCTGGAGGGGATCTGGGACAGAAGTTCAATAAATTAATTTAACCTAAATTGGTTAAGTCTGATAAGATATCCATCTAGGTTTATCTTAAACTAGTTTGGGGCATTTTAAAAGCAGTTTATGTGCACTGAACTTCTGTTGTGTTACAGATTTGAACCAGTTTCTAACCACTTATACCAGTTTATGTGTACTTCCTGTCCCTAAGCTCTCACATTAGCTGTTCTGATAAATTACCAAAGGAAGACTGTTTATTCAAGCCTGCCTCTTATATTGGTGGTTTTTATGATATAGACACCTGAACTGAGACCACAAGATCATTTCAAAGACACGAACAAAAACTGGATCAGTACTTAGCTGCAATGTATTTGAAAGAGATCTACAACAAAATACAGTATTCCTAAATCCAATTTCCCTGATTTAGGGGGTCTATCATTTACTGCTGCAGTGAGTGGATGAGTGTGCTCCCTTCTATTAGATCTTCATTCACATAAAACAAGCCCCCAACTTCTTATAGCAGCTGTGCAGAAGAACGCACGTAGCTAGAGTTAAAAAGGAACCTCTCCACTTACTGCATCACTGAAGTCACAGACTTTGGATACTTTTCTGACTCTTACATTAGCAAATCTAGTACCATAAAACTATAATGGATCATGCAGGCAGCCTTGAGGAAGTCAGATAAGAGAACATTTCTATATCACAAGTGAATCTGAAATTCTTTAAAGATTTTTTTTTGTTAAACTTGAGAATTTAAGCTTTTTTTTTTCTTTTGATTTGCCAGGCACATTTCTATTTACAATAATTAAAGCATTTTCATGATACACTTATAAAGCCATGTTGTAGCAAAATAAAAATGTGGTGTCACTAGCAGAGTTTACAATGGAACACTTCTAACACCATGATCTCAGATATTAGAGAGTCTGACACACCTCAAGAAATCTTCATCCAAAAGGGGAAAAAACAGCTAAGCTGCATGCTGTATAACCTTGCACCTTTGAGACATTACAACAGCAAATAGAAAACCTGCCTGCAATGGGTTATTCTTAAATATCATACTTGCACATTACCTTTAGGAGAACATCATCATAGTTATAAAATGTGAAGACCATATAACCTACTCATAAATTTTCAAGCTTAGTCCTTCCATTCATCTAATGTCCTTCTACTCTTTAAATCACCTTTTTTTTAATCGTGATTTACAGTCCTAGTCATTCAGAATTTTGTATTTATCTTTGTTATGGTAGTTATGTTTCACACAGACTCAAAACCACTTTAATCTTCACCTGTTACCACAAAGAATTTTTTGTTTTGTTTTCCGCTACTGAACTCTGTGGTAAACAAAGGGTACTTGTAAAGGAAACAATAATGAAAGTGGCTTAAAGACTTCACCTAAGAACATCTTTCTCCAAGGATAAAGAAAGCAGTTACTAAAGTCTGAAAGTGTTTTAGTTGGTGCTATTTGTTTGATATGTGTAACTGATGTCAATAAAGCTATTTAAACAACAAAACTATAAAGACAATATTAAAATAACCCTATTGGAAAAAAAAGACATTAACAGGATTAGAAGACATTAGTTAACAGAAGTAAATCTTAAATGTTTTGAAAGGAAGGCTGCAAGCCTAGCTCAGATTTCCTTAGTATACAGGTTTAACAACACATGTCTTTCTTAATAAAGTTCAAGTGAAGTTTATTGCTCTTACAGAATTAGCCATATATGAAGCGTCAAGACTTATTTTGTCAAGCCTCTCTGGGATTCATTTTCAGGTGTGTTGAGCTTCTACAGCTTTCACTGACTTTAAACACTTTGTGCCCAACACCTCTGAAAATTCAGCCCAGGGTTGTGTACATATGTAGGCTTTTTTTTCTTGCTGGCCTCTTTCAATAAAAAGGCTGTAACCTATAAAGCTTGGCAACCATAATGTTTCAGGAAATAAATCATAGAGGGCCATTAATCAATGAAGAGTTCTGCTTAAAAAAAAAAAATCGATGTTACAATATGGCCCATTGTGACAAGAATGTGAATTTAGTCAATCTGATTTTTGACTAATTATATTGATTTCTCTGCTTGATCTATGTAAATTCAATCTCATTTAAATCTTGGCACCTTGGTTACATTTTAGATGCATCTTGGCAGTAATGGAAATTGAGGCCTCACATTTACTCTCCCAGCATGAATGCTGCAAGTAGCTCCACAGTGCTTAGTGGCTTATGACCTAGAAGTGCTGTGTTCTCTAGGTTTGAGGTAAAGTTTAGTAGTAAACTAGTTAATTTTGTGCAGAAATAGCTGGTCTCTTTAGAGGTCAGTGTACCAACCATGCCAAATTGTGACATATGTGCTTATTTAATGATGTGGACTACTGTTCACAAGAGCTCTCAAACTGAGGCCCAAATTCATTTTGTTTCATGTCTCAACTTAGCCTCTCTATAGAGTTAAAAAAGGGTTAAAAGTCAATCATTGTTTTACCCACTAAGTTAGTCATCAAGCTGCCTGACACATGATCTTTGGGAAACAGTCCAGGCATGCAGCATTATTTGGTTTCCAACACAGGAACCAATGGCCAGGAGACTGACTGCAAAGGTATCTGTGTAGTCAGTGTGACACACATATTACATCTTTATGCCTTCACCTACCTATATATAAAATTATTTGTTTTTGTAAACAGAAAAGGCTTTTTTGTAAACAGAACAGGTTTTGGAATCCTGTGAATGAAAAGCCCTTTTTCTTACTTAATTAATACATACTAGTTCACATCATATCACATCCATAATCATGGAGAAAACCCAGAGACAGATAACTACTGGCTGCTTTCCAAAAGTCCCTACATTTTATATTCCAAGCCTCTCCTTGTCTTCCCTTTATTAAAATAAAGCATCTCTTTACCATCTATTCTTGGATCAAATAAAGTTACAGAGATAGCTCAACTTACCTTCCTACTTTCTGCCCTTTATGTGAATAACAGAATGCATAGCAGAACAAAGAAGTATCAGATTCAGATGGGTTTTAATGAAGTAGAGGCAAATATATACAGTACAAAAGCAAAACCTGTTATATAAATCATTATGTTTATAAAAGACCCTAGAATAAAGTGAATAAATAAGGCAAACCATTCCTAGAGAAGGAATTCATTTTAAGTCACAGTATTTCAAGCAAAATAGAAACAAAGAGCTAGCCATTCTAGATCTATTTGGATTAGTTGAGGGTGGAGGCTATTCACATACCAAGATCTGAACTCAGGTTAGCAGTTGCTGTGCTTCATCTTTGGCTACTTTTTCTAATGTCAGTTTTACACTGGAGACCCAGGCACTGTGGGTAACTAAATGGCATAAACCCTGAACAGGCAAACAGGCAATATATATATATTAGTATAATTTAGAACTTATTTTGATGACAGTGTTTTCACTGATGATTTCCACCAATGAAAATGAGATCAGAATGAGACCTCATATGTCTAACATCAACTTATCTTCAGGTTGTCCTTTAAACAATGATTAAAGGCCAATTTTAGGTTTATTGTCAATAGTGGGTAGTAAAAGGCCAACAGCACCATTTGACATTTTGTGAGCTAGTGGCTACTCAGTCAATTATTTAAAGGTACTGGTTATTAAATGCCATCTATGTAGGTGATCTATATTTTCTCTCTTTTGTACTAGCCAGCCACCAACTGTGCTGTCATTTCACTGTGATGTGCTAAAACACGCATTAACCTTCCTTTTGCTGTGTACATCACCAGGCTTCTCAGCAGTGACCTGAGAGTTTAACAACAATAAACTCTTTCAATTTAGCTAGCTGAGGCTTTTTTTTTACATCACATTACACTGAGGGCTAAACTCAAACTACTTTTACCATTGGGAAGGATTTGAGATATGCAAGAGTAACTGCACCCTGACTAGAGTTAGATCAAAGAATTCAACCTTAACTTCAAATCTTCTAATCAAAAGGACTAAACCAAAAATCAAGTGAAGCCAATACCTTTGATTCTGTCAATTTAAGTACTCGTGTGCATTCTTCTGGACTGCTTTTCATATGGGGCCTGATCCTAAAAAAACTTCCGATCACAAAAAAATCTGTAGGACTGTGCCTACTCTCTGCCCAATCCAGCAAGCCCTCAAAGTAATTCTGAAATCATCTCACCCTAACAAAAACCTGTTGTTATAGCTCCAGATCACTCAAAACAATGAAATGCGTGTGCTCATCTGAAATGCAAATGATGCGGGTAGGGGAGAAGGGATAAAACTGTACTTTGGTATAAGTTTTTAAAATATTATATCCATTATCGTTTAAATAATCTGCCGGGCAATATTGTTGGTTTTTCTTTCCCTGCCCCCCAAAAGGTATTTACTTAACAGTGGCTTTTCGCCAGTTCTCTTACAGCTCCATTCTAGATGCACCAAGTAGTTGTACATATTTTTGGAAGTCAAGAGCTATGTCAGTATGGTGAACAGCTCAGCACTGTCAGCTCTGCCAGGCTATTTATTTCAATATAAATTACTCCTGACCAAACAATCACCTGTTTGCTTAAAGGGATGACTTAATTCAATCTGCAGCACTATGCATTACTGCTAGGATACTATATCCCACAATTGTTCAGGTAATTACTTCTATTCTCCATATTGTACTTTGCTCACAGATATACTTGTCACCGTAGTATTTGTTCTGTAGTTAAAAGACAGACTTCCCTATGTACTGCTTTGAAAAATCATCAGCAGATACTGCTAAGTGAGGGTGCCATTATTTATAATTCTGAGCTACATGCTGGGAGTAAAATGGTTGCGTGGACAAATCCAGCAGTCACTATGTACTTTGCTATAACGCAAAATACAGACCAAGAATCTGTTTTAATGAAAGGCACCATGACACCCAGGGAACTTCAAGTCCAAAGAAATCTAACATCTACCACATTATCCATCAGACATGCAACCTAGGGTTAACACTGCATTTTCTCTAACAGTGGGATCTTGTACCAAGATCTTCAATGCAATGATTTAATTTTAGCAATGACTGTAAGCCTATGTTCAGCTGTAGGATATATATTTCTGGAGCCTAAGAGCTCCATGATGACTTAATCTGAGTTTCTGACATCTGATACCTAGTATTGATGTGTCATCAATATAAAGGGAAAATTTAGAAGAAGTCCTAAAAGCTAGTAATTGCTATTTGAACTATTGTCTCTAAAGTACTGCTTTACAGTAGTATTTAAAAGTAAAACAAGGCAGTGAGTCAGAAATAATTCAAGTAGCATATATGCATTTTAAAATCCATTCAACTCATACTCATAACAGACATGAAGTTACAATTCCTCTGGAGAGGCCTATGTCTGAAACAGCAAGTAAACTGCTCATTAGCAAAGATACATGGGGCAGAGTGTGGTTTTTCCCTATACACACATCTTACATTGTAACAACCTACATGTTGTACTGATCCAGGAAACTGCAAAAATCCAGTCATATCTAGTATAAAAAGTGAAGAAGCTTCTATTTGCAAAAGAAAAGGCCTGTATTATTCTCTCAAACATTTATGTTTCCAGTTAACTTTGATAAGCAACAAAGAAAAGTATATCTACCACGATGTAAACCACAGATAACTTGCCTACTTGTGTGGTAAAAAGAACAATGTCTAAAATAGTACTCTGACATATGGAATTAATCCCTTGAATAAAGGGATGACCTTGAAAAATATCAAAGAGGGCGGGTGGTGATCCTCTTTTCATGTGGAATATAGATCCAATGTTTATTGACTCTTAAGTGTGCAATGCATATAGGCTAACCAGTAAATTCTGCTACAGTGTATATACAGTATATACAAGATACAGTATATATCATACGTGTAACAGGAAACAACACAAAGCAATATTACCTAGGTAAATGCAAAGGCCCAGATCCCCACATGATGTAAATAGTATACATCTATTAAAAAGGCTGTGCAAATTTAGGCTGGCTCTGAACAGGCCTAGCTATGCAAACAACGTATGTCTACTGTCTTATTCCTAAGCACAATTAATATTTTGTAGAGCACTGCAAATACTAGCCAGCTTTAAAATATGTCAAAAACTGTTTGGATTAAAACTAAGAGAAAAAAGAGATTATTTTGCCATTTTTGTGAAATGTGCCATGGTAGCCAAATACTTGTCCCTCAAAGTTTATGAAGATTGTGAGTTTGTTCTATTACTCAGTAAATACATATTCTGTTGTATGAACTTTAAGAAACAAATCCTCCAAAAGAGTGTTGTAAATACATCACTATACTGCATGTGAAAATTAAACACCATGCTTGTCCCAGTGGGTCAAACAAGCTCAGTTACACCAGTAGGAATCCAGACTACTTTAAAATCTATGACTACAACAGCACTGTGATGTACTACTGAAAATGAAAGCACAAATTGGTAAAATAATATTATATTGTTTTATATTAACTATGAAGCATTACCTATTTTTCCTATAGTGTTCACTACTCATGTCTTGTGTCAAAATCATCAGAAGTTGCAACCAAAGACGGCTCTTTGGACAACAAAACAATAAACATGTCAGTCTGTCATTTTGAAGACCTTAAAAAACACTGTGGATGGTATTCTTTGTGGCAGTTTTGAGATGAAATTTTATGAAAGTTTAATTCAGCTTCTCAGAAGGAACTGCCATTTTCACAAAAAGAGTACAAACTTTTGCCAATTTCCTAAACAGGCCTAACGATTTGTGTCATATTGCAACTCTTCCCACTGATAAAAAGTATTAGAATAACATTTTCAAGGATACCACACAATTTTATATTTCTCTCTAAACAAGGCACTGCTATTTTCTATCCATCTTAACAGCTAGAATCCACCTTAGTTTGCTAAATATGTGCATTTGCTAAGGCTCTCAACCTGAACAAACAACTTTTCAGAGCTGTTTGGACTTCAGATTCCAGACACATGCAGCTATTCACCTGCAGGATCCTCCACACAGGATCAGGAATCTGAGCTACATTATTCCTAAGAAATAGATTTCTTACACCTTTTCTTATTAAAGAAAACTGTAAAGTAGATTATCTCTCCCATCACTGTGGTCACATGGGTTTTTCTGAAAATGACTGGATGCTACTTCCTTGTTTGAGAAACAGCTAAAGAACATGAGTGTCTGACTTGCTCTTTTTCTTTAATTTAGCTATTTTCTCTTTTTTGGTAGAGTAGAACAGAAAAAGAAGAAATTAATCAAATTGGGTACAATGAGACTGATCTGGCTCAAGTTATTCTTTGAATTAACCAGCAGAGGGATCCAAGGGAAAAAAGTCCTCCTACTCAGAACAAAGATCACCAACTTTACATTTATCCCAATCAACACACCCAAAAACAAGAGTCAATGATACTCAAAGTTTAGTATGACATTCTGCAAGTTGTTGAATAGCCTTAACTTCCATTCATGTTAGCACCACACCTGCTTCCCACACCAAGAAAGAAGGCTTCACCTAGTCTGCAGGGCATCCACTGTAAACCTGTCCCTCACCTCATTATGAATTCCTTCTACTTCCTTTACAATCGTGACTTCCAGTGATTTCAAAGATAAAGCCACTGATTCAGAATCATCTTGTAAATTCTGCAGTGCTGTCTCACACTGCCTAAAAATGTAGTCCAGAGTCCCTCTTGAGCACTGTAAAAGCAAAATTAAAAAAATAATTTATAGGTAATTTGGAAGCAGTAATGCAAACAGAAAATAATTCAGTGTCAGCCACTGAATCACAATAAACATTTTTATAAAGCAAGAGAAACAAAGTAAGAAATCTTATAATTATTGTACCGCACAACATCAGTACCATTTATATTTTTAAAAGTATAACTCATTAAAAGATACAGTTAAGTCTCAAAAGTAAAGATTTGGGGAGAAATTAATCATTATGAGAAAAATCTGTAAGCTAAAACAACCAAAGGCTTTTGAAAATGGCCAATATTCTTTTTCCTCCTCCCCGTTGACAAACAGATTAGTCTTCTAGAGCATTTAACAATTGGTCACATCCTCTCTAGTACATGATTCTATTAAGATGGAATATGAATTCCACACAGAGCATGAAGAGAGAATATATTAAATGGAGAAAACAAGAACTGTATAGGTTTGATTGTTACCTCTTTAATTTGTTTTTTTATGAACATAACTTCCCTCAGTGCTGAAGGAACATGTAAATATCCTTGTGACACAAAAGAAAAGGATATGTCTACATCATAATTATTTTCAGTTAAATATTTATAACTTTAGCTAGATCCCCAGGAATAGCCTTGAATAGAGACCCCCTGGTCTCATAATTCTTTGTATTAGAACTTCCCTACTATACAATATGAGGTCACAAAGGTTTATAAAAACAAAAGTACAAACATCTAAAGGGGAAGCTTTTCAAATTGTGGCAATAAATGTGCATTTTAATGTCAGAACAACACAGTGGTGGGAGTACTAGGTCAGAGAGCTCATTTTTTCTGCAAAGGAAAATAAAGAACCGTTTTCTTCACACATGCAGTATAATGCACATTGTGTTACAGTTTTATACCAAAGCTCAGCTCTAATCACCAGGGTTTGTTTTGAAAGATGTAATGCTCCAGCATGACTGAGAAATCAGACATATCTTTAGACCACCAATTGCTTAAAGTAAGAAATATTGAGATATCATGTTTAAATTGTCATTCTTTATTTTTCTGGGTTATATACATTTTCTATATATAAATATCAACTATATTTACTAGTTTCATCATTACTTTTTTCTACAATAACTACAAATAAGAGCTAACAGGGAAAAATTAATCAACACTAAAATGTATACTTCTCTCTCTCATACACACACATGCAATAATAATGCCTTTTTGCCTTGCTATGACAAAAAAAATATATTTTTTAAATAATTGTTTCAATACATCTATTTTTTCTTCCTCAATCCATTTCTTTTTGCTTACCATAGAAAGACAATGTATGATAACAGACAAAATTAAAAAAACAACAAACCCACGCTCACAGAGATAAATATCTCTATGTTCCTTTAAATTCATACAGTTATGACAGTTAGGAGTAGCTAAAGCATTAAAGCTACTAAAGAGCACCTATTAACACTTTTCCTGTGAATGGGCCATGGTATGTCAGGGCAAAGTTCAGCTACGGGCTTTGTGCCACCTCTCTATTTTCATGTCCAGTCCTAGAGGAATTGGTGGCTCCAACTAAAAACAGTCTCATGGCTACACTCAGTTGCTCTGCCTCCTGGAGATACATTTTGAACATATCTCCCTCCCACCTGTCACTAAAACAACCCTTATATTGGAGTTGAGGTAGCCAAAGGTAAACAAAAATTAAAATGTTGGGTTTTTTTTAATATGATTAAAATTTTTTGCATGTATTTAATGAGTTGGTGAAATATAGTACAGAAGTTGTTGGAGAGGTTAGGCATAAACTCAAACTTATTTGCTCATAAACAAAGAAAGTGTACCTAGTCCCATAAAAAAAATCAATGAGACATCTTCCAGGACTAGATTCAAGTATAGCACACAAACTTCCCTGGAAAAGTCTAAGTCATCAGTAAAACTGTGAATCATAATTTAAAACAACACTGTGATCCTAAATTCACAATGTCTGGGACTACTAATAGTACCAAGGAGCAAAAAGCAAATCAAGTTTCTCCCTCCTACTCACCTCTGCCACTCTGTGAGTAGAGCTGAACCGAGGTGGCCAGCCAGCCAACACACAGTGCTGATGTGTCATATTGAGATCATCTGGGGACAGATTGAAAAATACAATCAATTCCTCTCTACGGAGAAAATTATATTAAAGAGAAAATTTATCCCTGCCATATTTAAGTGCAAGATAATGTACACCACATATTTTGAATAGAAAATAAAGAACCTTGTTTTACAATACATAGCTTTTAAATAATACTACTCCTTTGGGTACAGACAGATGTAATAACTATCAAAAGATACTGAATAAGTATCAAAAGTATATCAAAAGATACTGAAAATAAGCTTTTACAATCCACTGTTAAGTCTACATGATTCTATGTAAATGCAAGTGTGGGAAAATTTCTCCAACTTTAACCATGCTTTATTTAAGGACGAAGTTGGGCAATATAGTTAACTGATATCAGTACAGGTACTGTGCACACATAACAGCTGATGCAATGCTCCTGAGCGGCAGCTCCCCTGACCCTTTTAAACAAGCTAAAATTATATTTGTCCATAGTCTTAGATCTTTTACATTTATCTTCACTTGTAGATCTCAAGTGCTTAACAGAGGAAGGTAAGAAGATAGAAAAAATTGACACACACATTAAGGCTAGGTGCAGACAGTTGGGGAGGTTAGATCACATACAAAATTTTCACCCGATCTAACTTCATTCTCCCAGGTGCAGACCTTACACCTAGAGTGCAGACAGAAGTGCAGCTCCCATCTGTAACTCAGAACTATTTCTGCAAAGCATTCTGAGTTACAGCGTTACCCCAGACCAAACAGAAGTTCACTGTTTGTTCCAGGGGGGTGGGGAGTCTAGTTGCCAGCCAGGTTCCCATAGCAATGGGCACAACTGTCTGCCAGTGCTCACTGTTTTCAGAATGGGAGGGGTAAAGGGCAGCACAGGTAGCTCATTCTTGGGGCTCCCCAGCTAGTGTTGAAGGGTGGTGTGGGTGAATAGAAGCCGCCACGCCTTAGGAAGGCTCCAATATACCTGCCCCACCCTCCAGGGGGACCAAAAAACACCCTGACTGAACTTCCTCTACTTCCTTTCCCCCTGCTCCTTTGTAAAACAGTAAGAGATTGGGAGCTCTGACAGACACAAGTTACAAAAGAGACTACATTTTGAAATGTCTTTATCTGATACTTCATCCAATGAGGGGTCAGATTTTCAAACAATCCATCATTTTTTAAGCTGTCTGGAGCTGTGTACTTGTTTGGTCACAGCTAAAAAAAAATGCTTTCTGTGGCCAGATCAGGCAAAAATTGTAACTTCTGCCTGCACCCTTAGATCCCTAGTTAGGTCAATCTAAGTGCTAACTGTACACAAGTTCATGAAGGTAAGATCATTCTAAAAATGACTGACCCAATCTAAATTAACCCTACCTCAGAGGTAGTCTAACTTAGATTGGGTCTGGCAAGACAGATTTAACTGAACTGCTGTACAGTTTCCAGTGCAGCCCAGCAAGCTACAAAAGCCCAGCCACTGGCCCGAGCCCCAGCCTTAGGGCTGCATTTTTCCTCCCCACCATACCCTTTGGCACCAGGCTATTTTTAGTAAGTTGGGGTGGGGAAAGGGGCAGGGTTGTTCGTCTGGAGGTGGGGGAGAGGAGGAAAGCAGGGTCAGGGAGCTTAAAATACTCCAGCGGGGAGAGATGAAATGCAGTCATGCTTTAGAAACTTGTAAGGGTGATACAATGAGATTCTGCATTTGCTGTCTGTCAGTGACTATCACTCAATTCTCTCTCACATTTCTCAGTTTATAAGAAAGAAGAGGCTTCCCTCCTATGCCCCATAAGGAGAAGTTTTACAAAATATCTCTAAGGCTAGAAAACACAAGCCAGAAAGATTGCAACTTGTTTAACATAAGTAATAACCATAGTTGGCTGAACATCAGAATTCTTGTCCTGAAGGGAATTACCATTTTTAAAATGATTCTGGAAAAATACTTTTAAAATTTCCCATAGAACAAAAATTGTATAATATTTTTAAAAACAATTTAGAACTCTTTATGAATTGTTATAGATCAGATTGTTTTTGATTTTGAATTCTTTGGACCCTGCAAAATAGGTTTACAGAAACACTTAAGATAAACATATGGAGTAAGCCTAATACATCAATTTGGAGAGCTCTCATTTCAATGATTAGTGAAGACCCAAAAAAGACAGTCAGAGAAAATGAAGAAGGAAGTGTTGACCATCACAGAGTAAGAGAGATGGAGGTGGATGAGCAGTAAGAAAACAAGAACAGATAAAAACCCTGGGAAAAAGCCTGGGAGGGAGAGAAGAATGAAAATTCTAGACTTGATTTGGTGGGCAAGAGTGAGACACCTAAGGAAGACAGTTTTGGCTACTGCTTTTTCAAGATGTGAAACAAATCAGGGAGATGCAAGTAAGAGCAGCAAAAACAGGAGATAGCAGAAATATGAACAGAAACAAGATGAGCAAGTTGCTGTTAGAATAGTGTAAGGATAGCTGAATGTGAGGGAAAGAGATGGAAGTAAAAATTACCCCAAGGTAATAAGCGTGGGTATGAGAAAGTGGAAAGTGCTATTTTTAATAGCAATGAAGAAGGCAGGCAGAGAAGGGGACGGGGAAGGGGAGGGAGTTAAGATGATGAAAAGTACTGGTTTTGCCCTGCTACGCTTGAGCTAGCAGCAAGACATCTGGGATGACGCATCTGAAAGAATCAGAGATGCATAACAGTCTTTAAGTCAGATCAGAGATGAAAGGTAGTTCTGTAAGTCACCACTGCTAATACTGCAAGATAACTGGAATGTGAAAGGCATAGTGATCATCCAGCAAAAAGAAAAGACGGGACCACAGCTAGACTGCTGCAAGATGATCACAGCAAGAGAAAGATGGAGTAGGGCTCTGGCTATTCAGCCGTGTAAGAAAGGGCTATTTTCAATAAGAAAAGGCCTACATTTTCAGTGGCAACTACCGAGTTTAGATATCAGCTTGAATCACCATCAAGACAAATTTGATGTTTGAAAGTATAAAGGAACATCACACCACCACATAAATATGAAGCACATTCATGGTGTCAAATTTGCATACCCCCAGAAAAATGAGTTTCCCCAAATTCTTAGTCACTTTTGAAAATTTAGGTCATGAGCATTTTATCTGATCATCATATTTTATAAAATCCAATGTCCTAGCATATAGTAGGCTGCACCGTGTGTAGAAGCTTAATATGCTACTCCTTCTCCATTAACGAAAACAGATGTGCTTTGAAACTTTTACTATACTTTTTAAGAACTCTGAAGTTCTCAAATTGGCATGTGCATGATGAATAATAATAATTTAGTTGAATATGATTTATTAGTTGTATTTTGCTTGCAAAAACAAGCTGTCTTCTTGTACTGGATTCTATAAGTTTTCTTATCATGGATATCAGGAAAAATGCAGGTGGGTGATTTTATCCTTTAACCTTTCTGTTGTTCTGCAACAGAAGAAAACATGAGGACATAATGCATAAACGTTTAAGGAAGAAAAATAAAACGAAACAAAACCACACCCTAACTGGATAGCCACATAACTTTGTATAATTCCACTGACAAACTGCTTAAATATCACTAGTATATAACATTTGTGGAATGAACCATTTTAATTTCAGCAAACCATGACATCATTAGTCATGCATACATGGCCTCTTTTGACTTCAACATTATCACCTTAAACCATTTGGTTCAAGGAGAATAAAAAGACTAGAACTTAGGTCCTTCTGCTCTGAATGCAAACTGAGTTCACTGCTTAAGCAAAAAGAAGGAAATTATTTGACTTGGTTTCATTTGGAACTTCTGTTCATAAGGACTTAGGCCTAGAAGAGGAGGAATATTATGGGTAAAGGGTCAGTTACGTTAGTGTGGATCTGTGAAGAGTACACAAAATACACTGGTAGGGATACGTGAAGAATACACAAAAATCCACTAAATATCTTTAGGGGGAAAAAGATAAGGGAAAAAAAACCTGCCACAGAGAGTGTCAAAAGATAAAATGCCAAATCTTGCAAATGCCTTGGAAAAAATTAAGTCTGGATTTTGAGAAGCAAAGTAAAATATTCACCTATATGAAGAATCAGCACAATGAGCAGATTGCTTAAATATTTTCATCCCCATTCAGTACCAATTAATTTAGTGCACTCTGTAGCACATACAGCATTAAAAGTATTACATTTTGCTTTGCACCTTCATTCAAACCCTTGGCAACCCTTTCACTGTAGAGCTCTCTCTTCTTGAAATTGCTTCCAACTGTCTCTAATCCTTTATGACTTTAAGAAAGAACCCTGTAATTTTAAGAGTTTATAATTCATCTAGAACTGTAATTGTATAAAAATGGTTGAAGCTTCATGGATCATATGTCTCAAAGGATATTTGAAAAATATATTCCAGTTCTTAAAAGATTACTTCAAAGATTTTCTTGTTTTATATAATGTGGAAAAAAATACCGCTTGTTAAATGGGACATTGTACAGTTGGCAGCAATACCATTTATTTAACAGAACATTACATACAAATTATTGTACCATGTTAAAGGTGAGCCAGAACTGCTGCCTTTTTACCTGACCACCCATGCCACGTGCACCACAGCTTTCTTACAATAGTCAGATAACATACAATACATTTGGGAACACCACCAGTTTTAGTTTTGCATAGCTAAGATCTGATTGATAAGATCTGCGAAACCGAAACTCTAAATAATTAATTATCAGTAAACAATTTCAGATACTGGTCCTGCATTGGGACCATGGGGACAGATCTTACCCCTGCAAGAGTCCCATTGAATCTGTAGCAGAAAAAGAGTCAGTGCTGAGAAATAGGCATAATTTCCTTTATACCTATATATTTCTCCCATTTCCGCAACTTTCTCCCTGCCAGTTTCCAATGACTTGTTTGCCACCTTGATCCACATCCCATTATAGAAACTCTGGCTCAGGCAATTCCACACAAGATTTATTGAAATAAATTAATTACACATATGATTGTGTATAGGTGGCCAAAGGCACCTTAGAAAACAAACAGAGATAAAGGTCGCTAGCTGTGTTAG